TCTTTAGGTGGCTTGTTAGGTTGTGAATTTCTGTTCCTTTCCATTTTCTTCATGTGTGTTTGTAGGGATATAAATTCCCCTCCTTACTACAGCTTTCAGGGCATCCCAGAGATTCTGGTAAGATGTTTCTTCATTTTCATTTGTTTCCAGGTATCTTTTGATCCCTGTTTTGATTTCGTCGTTGACCCAGGAGTTGTTTAGCATCATGCTGTTTGTTGTCCATGTCTTTGTGGGTTTGGGGGGAACTTTGTTGGTGTCAATGTTTATTTTTATTCCACTGTGGTCTGAGAAGGTGTTTGGTAGAATTTCGGTCCTTTTAAATTTGCTTATGCTTCATTTATGGCCGAGTATGTGGTCGATCTTAGAATATGTTCCGTGTGGTGATGAGTAGAATGTGTATTCTGTGTCTTTGGATGGAGTGTTCTATAGGTATCAATTAAGTCTATTTGGTCCAAAGTCACATTGAGGTTCCGGATCTCCTTGCTGATTTTTTGTCCTGATGATCTGTCTAGGTTTGTGAGTTGGGTATTAAAAGTCCCCAGTTATGATAATGGTAGAGTCAATATCTTTCTTTAGCTTTTCAAGAAGTTGCTTTATGAAAGTTGGCGCACCTATGTTGGGTGCATATTCGTTTAGGATAGATATTTCTTGTTGATGGATTGAGCCTTTTATCATTATGTAGTGACTTTCTGTATCTTTTTTGATTTTTAATAGCTTGAAGGGTATTTTGTCTGAAATTAAGATTGCTACTCCTCCTTTCTTTTGTATTCCGTTCGCCTGAAAGTTTGTTTCCCATCTTCTTATGTTGAGTCTGTGGGTGTCCTTTCTAGTGAGGTGAGTCTCTTGAAGGCAGTAGATTGTTGCCTGATGATATTTTATCCATTTTGCCATTCTGTGTCTTTTCAGTGGTGCATTTAGTCATTTCACATTTAGGCTAATAATTGAAATGCAAGAGTTGATCCCTGTCATAAGGTTCTTACAGAGTTGATCCTGTTTATTTGTTGTCTTTCTTTGGGTTTTGGAGTTGGTTCATGTGTGTTTTTAATCTTTTGCCTGTACTCTTGTGAAGAATGCTGTTGTTCTTTTTTCTTTTTGTTCAGTGTTCAATACTTTCTTAAGTGTTTCTTGTAGAGGTGGTCTGGTGGTAGTGTAGGTTCTTAGGGATTGGATGTCTGGAAAAGATTTCAATTCTCCCTAACTAATGAAGCTTAGTTTGGCTGGGTAGGTTATTCTTGGTTGAAATTGTTTCTCTTTTAGAACTTTGAAGATAGGGCTCCAGGCTCTCCTGGCCTGAAGGGTTTGTGTTGATAAATCTGCTGCTATTCTAATTGATTTTCCCTGGTAGGTAGTCTGGCCTTTTTCTCTTGCTGCCTTTTGAATTTTT